GTTTGATATAATCTTGGATATAGGATGGAGAGTGATGGTTAGGTCTGAAATTTGAGAGATGTTTTTTCCATGGCAATTTTAAAATTATCTATAATTTAAGACTATGATTAGTTGTGTTTAATATAATTTTGGAAACTGATGCAGTTAAACTTACTCAACAAAAGACAGATAAAAACATTATAATACGCCTACAGAATGTAGAAATAATAATAACCCATAGGGTAATCGCATAGTGTTGCTTTTGTCCGTAACGAAAACATAGGACATCAAAAACTGAATAATGAAATGAAATTGGGTTTAACGTCCTACTGTTCTGCTCCTATGCTGGGCTAATGAAGACGGGCATACGCCATACAGTGTGCTATGAGGGAAATTTTGCCCGGGCAGCGGCACTATCGCCTACTCTTATATCGAATTCCAACTGCCAAGGGATCTTTTACGTGCATTCCAATGTATACACGGGACCTCGGTGTTTCGTCTCATCCGAAGGACTAGACAGCTGTCCTTGTCAGGCCCTCCGTCATGCATCACTGACAAGGGAGGACCACGCCGGAAAAAAACTGAATAAGAGTAACAACCTATGTACTTGTCTGATATTAGAATTTAGCTGTTCAAGTTATCCGATTCTTCGTCTCAAGGCCTTACTTTAATACTGTGTGTATAAATCACATGATAAATTTTGTTTCAAAGTGCACAAGGGCCATAAATCTAGCAGTAATAATCGGGTATTGTTGAAAATCAATGACTTCTTTTTCTCATGACCTGTGTATACAATCGGACGAAGAATGTAGCCCCTATAGAGCGTCCACAACCAATTGTGAGCCCCGGGCGGACGAACCGACAGACTGGGCGACGATAATATACGATTATGTTTCAATGTTGGCGTATTCAAACGATATTATTCGACTCTAAAAAAAACTTTGGCTATAATATTTACATTTTAGATTAATTTCTAATGAATTCATACCACCATCTGTATGTTTTTATTTCGTACACACCATCCAATTCTTCATGAAGGTGTTACAGACTTTGAAAAGCTTTTATAATTAGACAACGGCCTTTACATTAAAAAAGCAGAGAGGGGGGGGGGGGAATTTAACGTCCACTCGACACAAACTAGGGCATTTCGGGACTAACATATGGTTCAATTTTATTTCATAATTCGCTTGCGCTTAGGGGGTCTTTAGCTGTTGAAGGAAACCGGAGGACTCGGAGAAAACCCGCGAGGTTGAACAGGCGACCCTACTCCTTGCCACGTACAACCGGGGAATTGAAACCACGCAAGTTGATTCAATGACAGACCGTATGATACAGCGCGAACGCGCTAACAATTCAGCCCCCCCCCCCCCCAACTAAAATAGTGTAATAATCGTCAAATGCTGTTGAAGGATTATACATATTTCTTCCTATCGAGATACATGTTTACGATTTGGCTAATATTTCCATTCGTGCACAGTTGCATGTTTTTTAATCAAATAAATCCAGGTGGTAAGCTCGTGAGTTTCTATTGAAAGAATAACGTTGATGAAATATTGATGAAACTTCATGTGTACATAGTACAGATGCAATGGTTGTTGCTGTTAACAACATCTTAATCATCGATTTATCATTTCAACAAGCCGTTAAAAATAACAAAAAAATATATGGAAATCAGTTGGTTTGCATCGAGATAATTTGATGGATATTTGATGGGTCAACAGATGACCATAATCTTATTTAGAATATTACCAGAAATATAATTTGAGAGAGAGCGAGAGAGAGAGAGAGAGAGAGATGGGGTTTAACGTCCACTCGACACAAATCAAGTCATTTCGGGACTAATATATGGTTCAATTTTATTTCAATTATTCGCTTGCGCGTTGGGGTCTTTAGCAGTGGGAAGACACCGGAGGATCCGGAGAAAACCCACTAGGATGGACAGGCGACCCTACTCGTTGTCACGTACAACCGGGTCATAGAAACTACGCCAGTTGATTCAATAATGACAGACCTTAAAATACAACGCACGCGTGCTAACCATTCGGCCATCAAGCCCCCCCCCCCCGGATGACCGAAGAAAATAACGACGGAATAAGAAGGCTTTTTTTTCTAGTACTTTAACAATATTTTAAAAATTAGTGTGCCAACCACAAGGTATTAAACACCGTTCGTTTGTTCCTGGAGTTTTACGTCTACTTCCACCAAGGGTGATATCGTAGACAAAGTTTGTACTCTCAATATATACAATGACCTTCTTAAATAGTTTTCAACACCTAATAATGAACCCCATATAACAATGACATTCCCAAAGTCAATGTGCCAAAAAACGATTGCGTAATACTGATTGTAACGACCTCTTATTGTGACATGAAATGGTTATGATAGGTAAAATATAGCTAAAGGCATTCTATATCCATGTCTATTACCTATGTCAAGTCAATAAACTGGTCTTAATATAGACCAGTAAATGATCTATAGATACCTCTATAATAGCCTATTACATCGACTGTTTATATCTGTCGATATCAAATAGATGATATATACACCTTTACTCTGTCTATTGAAAATTTCAAAAACCCAATACCTTTAGGCTATATTTTATCAACAGACTTTGTCTTCAAAAACAAAACATCATCTTTTTTTATGATAAAATTTATGGTGTTTTGTGGACAAAAGACATCGCTACATTTATTTCGTCAATATTTATTTTCCAGATCATGCATACAATTTAAAATTTAATCTTGTTTTGTTTTTGTGAATGTTTTGAAAGCCATTAATAACGACGATTCAATAATCAAATTTATAAAAATATAGATACTAACAAATTCTCGTAATTTTCATAGAAAATGGCAAATTGTTCTTAATGAAATAGATTCGTCTAACAATCGACGCAAATTGTGGCAAATTCCAGAAATGTAATCTGTAATCAAAAGAATGGTTTTCTTTAAACAAAGCATATTAGAAATTGACACAGGACAGTAATCAGAAGATTATTGTATAAAATGAATGGCGTATTAATGAGACGTATCAATAATGGATTTGTATTATAGACGTTTGAAGCCGTTAATCTGTCTAATTATAAAACATGTGTTAATCTGGGATAATCTCATCATAACAAAAGAACTGAACCATATGGGGTCAATTATACCGTGTATACGTGGAAAGAATTTACCGAGGATAAAATTGCATTAATGACGTATTATCTCAATTAGCACGTTGTAAATTCCAACTGGCTTCTTTGGCGATTAACCTTACGACATCTGCCAATTAAGGGGCTCTTCTGGTGTCACCGTCTAACCATATCCCAGGACTTCAATGCTCTTTGATGTTTCGAAATCTTACGTGTTTAAATTCCTAATTAAATTAAAAAAAACAATACATACTAACAAACACTGGGAAACGTGTGAGAAACGGGGTGGGGGTGGGGTGGTGAATTACGATTGTCGGGTTTACTCTTCAAGTGGAAATACAACTCTTACTGATATATGACCCCAATTGGAGTTGAAATTATTATTGTCATGCATTTTAAGTTAAAGCAGACACAGTCGTTTACGATTTTAGATGCGATATATTTTGTCCCTAAAGACAAGGTGTGGTGTCTCTAGAAGACCAGATATTTACGTGTTTTCACTCCGAAAGAGTGCAATTTTAATTATTCAAAGTGAAACAAAATATTGTTTCTTGTTTTAATTCTGAATAAAATATTGTTTTGAAAAAAGAAAAACAAACATCAACTGGGGATTAAATTCTTCACCAAAGTAAAAATAAACAATTCCATTCTATGAGGTTAGCGTTTCTGATATGAAGCAAACCAGAGATAAGATTAAAATAAAGATATTATCAAGTTTAGACTATAATAACAACGACGGGTTATTCCCTATTTTCTCTATATATCTTCTTATAGATTGGGGAGAATCTAATTAATATATCTCTATTAATAAACACAAAACAATAATATGGAACACAATTACTGTTTTAATTAAAGCGACGTTTAGTTGAGGGTTCTCTCAACATTTTCAACCCTCAAGAGCCCCCCCCCCTTCAAAAAGTTTCGCCCCCCCCCCCCCCTGTGAAAATGTTTTCGACATTAAAAAATAGATATACAATGTCCGGCAATATTACAGCACCCCCAAGAACAATTCCCACCCCCCTCGTTGCTCTGAGTTAGTTACGGTCCTGAACGAAACGTCGCTTTAATTAAAACAGTAACTGTGTTCCATATTATTGTTTTGTGTTTTTTACTTGTGTCAATTGCTAAACGCCACTCAAAGAAGATATATCTTTATTATTGCGTGACTGGTCTAACCAATGCCCCAATATTGGCTATTGCAAAACCATTCAAAGTTAAAATATAGTATTGCCCAATTTTATTTCTCAACAACCTTAGGAATCTTTCAGACAAATTTATGTTATTGGTCAATATATTGGATATCACAAAAATTGCAGTTTGATGCTAAAAATAACCCAATAAAACAATAACAAAATATTTTTTTTAAAAAGTGTCGAGTTATCTTTTGACAACACTTGACCCCCTCCTTCCTCCTACAAAAAAATCACTTGATAAGTTTCTGTTTTAAAAAGTTTAAACCAAGTACGGGGAAGGGAATGGGGGCATATTAAGTAAATGTTGGTATGCTACCTTATATCGATATGTCCAGAGAAAAACAGACATTTTGGGGAATATAATGGCCAACAACGAAAATCTGACATACAGTAGCTCGTCTAAACTATTCTTTAAAAATTGAGTATAGTAGAAAATCAAATAGATATGCAGCCATGATGTTGTATGATCTATTATTTTATTATAGACAAAAGAAAAACTGACAATTTCGCTACACATAACATGATTACGTATCGCCATCGGTCGTCTCGCTTCGCTAACTTGATTGTCGATGTGATGGATTATGTCATGTACATTGCAGGTGATGATAGCGAAGTTACTCAACTAAATCGGGCCTCGCGTCACTTCCTGTCCTATTTTCTGGTATATATAACTGTAAATTTTCTCGATTAGTATACCACTTCCATTCCGGTGGTCACAGAAGGCCGTCCTCCATTTTGATCAGTCATACTGGTCACGTGATATTCGTGTTTCTCATAGTATAAGAACAACTTTAGAATTCAGGATTTTATAGTGAAAAGTGCCTTTTGCCGGTAAAGGATATCGGAATAGCGCTTGAAAGGAAAAAACTTGACAATAATTAAGAAATACTAAGGAATTTTCCCTAGTGACGTCACTTGATTGACAGTTCCCGCACGCTGATTTTACGTCAAGCGCTCTCAAACGACCGCCCCAGTCTACGATGGCGTCGAAGAAGGTGAAGTCGGGTGATCAGGTAAGCTAAAATATACTATATTTACGAGTTTAACAGCAAATTTGTATGCTGAATAATAGGATTTAAACATAGACACAATGTTGTACACATGGACATATCTCTAGTGATATTGAGAGTGTTTTGATAACGGTTTTTGTCCGATCACTTCAAGATGGCGTGCCCTGACAAGAATAACACACAAACCTGTGGATATTTTAGCCGGTTTCTTTACTGACTCATTTAGAATTAGGATCTAGTGTTTTTCCACTGGCTTCATGCATTAAACTAATAGATCCTTCATGGAAAAGTTTGTCTGTATTTTAGACTTGAACATAAAAGCATTGATATTGAAAACATGAAAAGCATTATCCCTATCTGAATAGTGGAAATCGCATGGGTGCGAGGCTGGCCTGAGTAAGTCATGAATATGTAGCAGTTTTATTTAGAGGACTTTTAGGTTATTTACAAAAAATCCCATTTTATGGCACTTTAAACGTTGAATTTGAGTGTTTGATTTGAATTCCAGATTTTAGACTAAAGTATGATCCATATTTTTACCGGTAACTTTATTTATAAATAACTGAAATTAAAATTGACAGGTGGGCCTGCCCTAAAAACATGAAATTGAATCAATTTTTTAGAAATTTATGGTACAAATGTAGACCTAACATTCCAACACTAAAATCCTTCCAATACATGTAGTAGCAATACCAGACCGGTTCGGTTGGTTGTGTAATAATATATTATCAAAAAAATTCAGGTGTAGTATTTTAATTTTTTTTTTTTTTAATATCTAGCTAGTCTAAAGTAATCCAATTCAATTCTATTTTATTATTATTAGTCAATGAATGCATTGATGCACAATAAATTATAATTAAAAAAAAAAGTTATTCATAATTTTTTTAGCCCAAAGTTGAGCTGATATAAAAAAAAAAGTTTGAAAAGAGAATAGAAATCCTCCAGCAGAAATTCACATTTTTAGTAATTTAACCAATGTAATATGGCCAATTCAATTCAGAATTAGTTCATTAAATTTTAATTTAAGGGAACAAAATTCTTTAGAATGTGTAGGACCGTACTGATAAGATGTTAAATTTGTTGATTTTGATAACAACACTGTAACCATGATCTGAAAGAATAGGCCTGCTCGACCAGAATCTGGCAAAATAAATCATACTTGCACAGGGGTATACAATTGCATTATCTACTACCGTATCTAGATGTAAGATTAACATGGCTTTGAATTCATTGAAAGCGTGAAAAATAAAATTTTCAGAGTAAGTGTGCTGTAGTTAGTTAAGAAAACAATACATTCTTGATCTTGTACACATGGCCATAAAAATATCAGCATCATCCATAATGATATAATTAAACTAGTTTTTAGGTGCACAATATCAGTTTGTGAATTTCTTCCGTTTCACATTTATTGAAGATATGAATGTTAAACCAAGGACAAAATGAAACAAGGCTTGGTTTGAATAAAATTATGGAAAATTTCTGCTTAATTTATCACATGTCATTTGTAGTAGACAGCTAGTTCTGCAGCTTTTTATCAGTCACCTGAGGCTTAAAGAAAAGAAGTTTTTATGACCGTCACCCTTGAGTGATTTTATAAAGGTTACCTTCAATATTTCTCCAGGCCATATTTTATAGTTGAGTAGGGTTAAGGGTAGTTTGTCATTAAATCTATCTGTATGAGGCTTAACTTCTCTGTTTCATTGCATAACCATTGTTTCTTATGTAACTTAAGCTCATTGTTATACATTGCAGGTATCCATCTCTGTCATTGTTATATCACTGTGACTGGTCTATTGTATAATCAGATAGATATACAGTAAAATCTACTAACTTCTATCTAATTAGAACATTTCACTTTGACCTCACTTGTCATTGAAAATGATAAATACATGCACTGAATACTGATACCTGCTAATACATTTTAAATTTCATATTCTATTACATAAAAAGTTTACTACTAGATTACTTTTAAGAGCTTATTTACCCTAATCTGAATATCAAACCCACTTGAAATTTCATGCACGTTTTTCAGTAGGCCTACAGTTTGTACGAAAACGGTCCTTTTATAAATTAAAAACACATCATGTTGAAACACATTGTAACTGTAAGTTATTGTACCGGTAACTAAACTTAATACCAAGTGTTTAACTGAATGACCCAAATGCTACTAAAATAGGCTAGTCATTTGGTTAACTTTTCAATGACAAAAATACGCTGAATATAAAAATTACTGCCTGATGTGTGTAGGTTACAGAATGATAAATATTATATATTAAAAATAATGTTTTAGATTAACATATTATAAAGCTATGTGTTATTGTAGGTCAATTCAACATTCATGAGTGAGTCATTCTCATTGTTATCATGGTTAAAACCTGTAGTACACCATTAACAGAAGTTATTGATAAACATTGAATTATACACTTGGCTACTACAATACCTCCATTATTTTTTTTATTAGGGTCTTTATACTGTAGGGTAAAAAGGTAAATCACTATGACGATACAATCTTTTTAAAAAGTATTTATTTCTTTTGACTTAAATTTCGTCCAATAATCATTGCAAAGGAGTGTTTCACATTGGATATGAATTTTCACTGATATTCAGTTGCACACGATGATGACCTTGGGCAAGGTCACATAATAACAGTATGGTTAATGTCCTGTATTGACTGACTAGAGTGTTGTCTGGTAAAAGGCCAGCTTTGTAATTAACCATAATGTGATTGCTAGAAATGCCATAAATAAACTTGGTTCAATAATTCCACCATGCTGGATAAAATCCCAATTCTCTCTGCATTTTATGCTGTCTGCTCTATTTCTTACATGTTGCAATAGTAGCTTTGATCTCCACACTACAGCAGGTTTGATTAATCCAGAGAAAAAAATTCCTAAAATTTTAGAAAGAGCCACATCTGGCTATCTTATAAAATATCTAATTCGATTGAGTAGAGATGCGACTCATTTGAAACGTTAAAATACATGGCATCATCTCTTCCTATATATAATGAAATAACAAAAAAAAATCATCTAAGGCACATGTAATTGTCATAGCGTAACCATTTTTAGGTATCGCATAGAAGATTATCAGAATTTAAAAGCCGCTGCTTTCGTTTAATTAACCTTCATCTACTGATATTAAATTATAATGTATGTTCGTTTCTGTTTTTGCAGCAACGTGCTGAAAGCTACAGATATGCCGTCACATCAAGCGGAGATGAGAAGAAAAAGAAGAAAAAAAAAGGCAAAGAAGATCTTGATGATCTTAAACAGGAGTTGACCATGGACGAACATAAAATGCCTATTGAGGAATTATATGAAAAACTGTGTTCAGATCCTAATATGGTATGTGAAATCTACAAGTGTAAAATTACTGGGATATATAGTGTTGAAATAGTGATATATAAAGTTCAGTTATTTGGTTTATAAAAGTGTGGCTAAAATACACAACTTAAATACATGTATCCATTTCCACAGCGAATACATGGATTACCGTTTTAATGTGGACATTTAATTTAGTGTGCTACGTTTTAATGAACCACCATGTAGCATTTACTGCTGGGTGTATTATTCTTGTTCATTTATTTCATTTGCTTGTCTTCATATCATTTGGTTTATAATAATATAATTGTGTATATCATGCACTCTTACGTTTCAATACAAATTCATATTGCATGAACGAATTAGTCAGTTGGTAATATTTGTAATTTGATGTATCCAGTGATCCTTTTTTTTTTTTTTAAGATAGAAATTCTGCAAAACATGCTACAATTGATAATCATGCTTCAGTGTAATTCTGCTCACCAGTTACTATAAAACTTTGTTGTTGTTGAGCACGCAGATGACTCAGTCACTCCCATTTCGACATTTCTTTTAAAACACACATGAATATTACAGACTTGAATCTTGTAATTTTATGAATTGGCCTAAACTATGCTATCATGAAATCTGTTGTGTTGCTTGATTTATGGTGTTGACCTTGAACCTTGCTAGATTTTTTGGCACTAATTTTTGCCATAGCATGGTTTTTCTTTCTGTTTTTATAATATATTTCACAGCAGCCATGATGAGTTGTGTGATGAATGACTTCCATGGTTCTGAAACTAGTCTTGTCGAGAAAACACACATCTGAGCTCAATCTGCATGTCGCCTTACTGCATGTAGTGAGTGAGTGTTGCGTGTTAAATAATGTTGCGTAATATCTTGCTCTCGAGTGTCATTGCATGCACATTGCTTCATTAGACTAGAAAATTGCATGTCAACTATTCATGTACATTTCATTCAGATATATCTTTTTTTTAACAAAGAAAATTGTAATGCGAACTTTTTTAAGCCAATAACTCTGCTGACCTAGTTCAGCTAAGAAATAATGAGGTAAGCGTACCCCTTGTTCAAATATTTGCCTAACTTTGAGGATAAGCGTCCCTGGTAAGGTGTCACATTGACTATGGCCTACTTTGACATACATTAAAGCCAAAGTTTCCATGAACCACGAGTATTAAATAAATATTTAGTCCACAAGTTAAGTCTAAAGGGATATTGTTTAAGCTTATGTTTTATAATCCCCACTGTACATCCATAACAACGTTTTTAAATTTACAGAGATTTGTGATTTTATATCAGTCATCTATATTAATTTTGCAAGCTCTCAAAAACTTCTAGCTTACAGTAGGAAGGAAGTCAAAATGTCTGTATTAATCTGTTATCTGAACTGAATTAAATTGGACATTTTAACGGTTATAATCTTTTGAAGGAAATGAAAATTAATTTAGGTATAACAAAATATATTTAAATAAACAAAACAAAAAATATTCTTTTAAATGTTTAGTTGAATAAAATCCATTTGATAACAAACAAAACACAAAAATTCGAAGATAAATAATTTTATGTCACAAAATTTAGCATGTTTCCTGTGTGCTGATTTTCAACATAATTGCATTGCACTTTATGTACTCTTATCAATTATTTTTCTTTTTTTTTTTTGATTCTGCGGCATGCTTTACGTTAATACGATGCTATGCGTTTCAACACTCATAGATACCTAGGTGTCAGAAATCAATCCATTTTAATGAAAATTTGTTTACAAAGCTCTACAGGCGCTAATCTGAAAAAGATCATTGAAATTTACTTTCAGTATTAAAAATGAGTCTGGTATTGAATATAAATTGTAGCATGTTTGTATTGATAATTATTACATGGTTTATATTGTTTGTTATTACCCAGTCCTTCCTGTACAGGTTCGTACAGATTGCATGATTTTATTCAAGTTATCTATATTGTGTGGTTTGTGTGTTAAATAATAAATTTTATCTTCAGGGATTGAGCGTAGAAAAAGCAAGAGAAATTTTTTTACGAGACGGACCAAATTCTTTAACGCCTCCAAAAACAACTCCAGAATGGATCAAATTTTGCAAACAATTATTCGGTGGTTTTTCACTACTACTGTGGATAGGAGCTATATTATGTTTTATTGCCTACTCCATCCAAGCTAGTGCACTTGAAGACCCTCCAGGAGATAATGTAAGTAAAACTATATATTTCAGGTCGACCTAATTTATTGGCATGGTATATTCACAAGTACATGATTAACATTTGCTTTATTTTTTGACCCTACGACTGTTTTGTAGGTCATACTGTTCTACTTAAACATACATTATACAAGAGCTAAATGTGCCTATTGCAGGTCTTTCTTTAGGCCTGAAATGTTGTCTAAATTATTAATTAGACATTAATTAACTTATCCAGAACATAATCAACTTTGATGCCCTTGCTAGCCTGCGATATTTATTGAATTGGAATACATTTTGTGATAGATGATTTAACATAAAAATTGATATTATCATATCAATTTTAATAATGATGATTTATTCACTGATATCTCATTCTAAAGTGGAGCAATTTGACTGAAATTTTGAGCATATTCTCTTTGAATTATTTATTTTTAAACTGCCCCTACAAGAAGTCATAAATAATCAGTAAATACTACTTGAGACGAATCAATAAGGATGCTATTAAAAATTGCACATCAATAATAAAGGTGATTGCCCAACAAACTTGTGAAACTGGCAGTATCTAAAATTTAGAAATTAGAATCAACTGAGCCAGTTGTATTAAGATTTAATTTGTTACCAAGTCCTGATAATCTATTTTATCATAAACCAACTCGAACTCTCGAGAAAAATGTCAAGAAGCACTCGTCAGCCATTGACATTATATATAGATAAGATGGGATATATTTCCCACCTCTGTCATTCGGTAATCTATAATTTTACCCCACATATTCCATATAAAATTTATATCTAGTGTAGGATTTGTGATGAAATTTGCTTTGTGAATAGCCATAGTATTTATAATACCCAGCTAATGTAAGCCACAGCATTGATTTGAATTGATATCTAGATATACTTTTAATTAATTGTATTTTTTTTTCTATTTTCAGTTATATTTAGGTATTGTACTCGCACTTGTCGTTATAGTTACAGGCTGTTTCTCTTATTATCAAGAAGCTAAAAGTTCAAGGATTATGGATTCTTTCAAAAATATGGTTCCTCAAGTAAGTTTTCGATAAGCCTTTAGTTTTTTTTCACCTTCTCCTACATTGAGCTGTCCTTGGAATTTGGTAGCTGCTTGGGAGAAATTCTCCCCATTTCATGTGTAATGCCGTAACAGTGCTGTGGTTAGGTTATTGACAGGTTTTTAATGCCATTATTAAAGTCTCTTGGTGGATAAAGAAACAGATTTATTCTCGGATAAAGCCCACTAAAACTATTTCAGTAGCATGAAACTATGAATTATCTCCCTTCTTGCCTACACCAGAAAGTTTGACAAATAAAACCCATAAGCACATTGTAAAGATTTTAGAAAGAAATAACCAAGTGTCCTATGATATAAAAAAATATCTTATGTTTTCAGTATGCTGTCTGTATAAGAAGCGGTGATAAACTGAATCTTAAAGCAGAAGAGCTTGTTGTCGGCGATGTTATTGAAATCAAATTTGGTGATCGAGTTCCGGGTGATATACGTGTTATTTCTGCCCATGGTTTCAAGGTAGACAACTCCTCTCTCACTGGTGAATCGGAACCACAAACACGAACAGCTGAATTTACTCATGAAAATCCTTTAGAAACAAGAAATCTAGCTTTCTTCTCTACAAATGCCGTCGAAGGTAAGGTTACATCCAATTCTATAAAAATTAGAGACACTCTGAATGCAATTGAAAGCAACAAAATTTGCAAGTCCTATAGAATCCAACAAAAAAAATATCTTAATTCGGTGCATTGCAATAGAAGAATTGTATCTCACTGTATAGAAATAACTATTTGAGGACCATCTTGACCGTAAATAATCTTTTCAGCACCAGACAAAAGTTAGTTTTATATTGATCGTATATAATCTTTGAACCATTTTAAAAAGGAAATGTTTTTTTTGTATTTTTTTAGGAACTTGCCGTGGTATTGTTGTGAAGACTGGCGATAAGACTGTCATGGGACGTATTGCTAACTTGGCTTCTGGTCTGGAAGTTGGAGAAACCCCCATCGCTAAGGAAATTGCTCACTTTATCCATCTGATTACTGGTGTGGCCGTTTTCTTGGGCGTGTCCTTCTTTATTATCGCCTTCATATTAGGTTATTTCTGGTTAGATGCCGTTATCTTCTTGATTGGTATCATTGTTGCTAATGTACCCGAAGGTTTACTGGCTACTGTCACTGTATGCTTGACTCTCACTGCTAAACGTATGGCTAGGAAGAATTGTCTGGTCAAGAACTTGGAAGCTGTAGAAACTTTAGGATCTACCTCTACCATCTGTTCGGATAAGACAGGTACACTCACCCAAAACAGAATGACAGTCGCTCACATGTGGTTCGATGGTCATATTCTTGAAGCCGATACTAGTGATGATCAATCTAGTAAGTTTTTATACTTATTTCATTTCTACTAAAGTCCTATTCACACGGGAATTAAATATCTTTCGATCAAAGTCCTGCCTTTACGTTAATTTACACTTGTTTCATTTCTACCAAAGCCCTTTTCACACAGGAATGAAATATTTTCTGATCGGACACCTGCCTTGAGGTTTATTGAACAAGATTTAAAAGTTTTTAAAGCCTACCTACTGCTCAATACATTCATTACTATTAAAGTATTTACCTTTCTGAATTATTTCATTTATTCTTTGTTTTTTTCTTCAGATGCCTCATACAGCAGGAATGACCCAACATGGAATGCCTTGGCGCGAATTGCTATGTTGTGCAACCGTGCCGAGTTCAAAGTTGGTCAAGAAAATGTCCCAATTTTGAAGAAGTATGTGAACATTTTCTTTCATGTATTATTAATTTCCCGTAACACAGTACTTGATGATATCTGTTCTCAATATAGATGTCTAAAACTCACAAACTTGTTATTCATTTTCATTGAAAACTTTTAAGACTACTATATATCCTTACAGTGTTTGAATTTTCTTCTTTTGGATTAGTTTCGTTAACATATCACAAGGAGTAGGGTCGCCCGTCTAACCTCGTGGGTTTTCTCTGGGTCCTCCGGTTTTCTCCCACTGCTAAAGACCCCTTTGCTCAAGCGAATTATTGAAATAAAATTGAATTATTAGAAATAAAATTGAACCATTGAACCAAAATGACGTAGTTTCTGTCAAATGGACATTAAACCCCATTTCTCTCTCTCGGGTTAACATATCCATACTAAAATCTGAATTTGATCAATTTTTTTTTTAACACAGAGAATGTAATGGTGATGCTTCTGAATCAGCTTTGTTGAAATGTGTTGAATTGTCTATTGGTAACGTCACTGAATTCCGACGACGAAACAAGAAAATCTGTGAAATTCCCTTCAACTCAACCAATAAATATCAGGTAAATATTGTCATTGAATCTACTGTGGTCCCCGTCATCTTCAATCTTGATTACAACACAGATCCATTTTCATTCAAATGAATTTATGTATCCGTTTGTTTTTGATAGCAAATATTAGATTAACAATTGGGCGCTAATTTTATAGCTGTATTCCTTTATTGGCATAAAAAGTCCTTGATTTTGGAAGGTTGGTATGGACATTTCTGTAGTACTTGGCTTAAAAGATATTTTTTAATGATGTTTATTTTTTTTTTGTAGCTATCTATTCATGAAACTGAAGATCCAAATGACCCACGTATGGTCCTTGTCATGAAAGGAGCTCCTGAAAGAATTATGGATCGTTGTTCCAATGTTTTATTGAACGGAAAAGAAACTCCATTAGATGATAATTTCCGAGAGGCTTTCAATGCTGCTTATCTTGAACTTGGTGGTCTTGGAGAGCGAGTACTTGGTATGTAATTTGAGAATTTATTGGGAAACTGAATAGAAATGGGAAGTTGAATAGAAAAGGGTTAACGGTCATATCATTCTGCAATAAATGGGCTAATCTAATGAAGACTGGCATATGCCAGATGTTCTGAAGGAAATTGTATTCGGACAGTGACACTACAACCTACCCTTATTCGGATTTGCAACAGTCAAGTGTCATTAATAATGCTAGGAATGGTGCACGTGGGACCTTTATTTTTGTCCCATTCAACACCACTAACATGGGACCTTTGTTTTGGACAGGCGACCCTAATCCTTGTCGCGTACAACCGGGGAATCGAAACCACGCCACTTGATGACTTTGTGACAAATCTTATGGTGCAATGCTCATGCACTAACTATTCGGCCATCCAATCCCCCTCACTGACATGGAAAAACCAGGTTGGATAATACTGAGAAACTTTATAAACCAACAGGAGGGTTGAGAATCCAGGAGGTTTTGGTTACTGAGGCACCCTGAATTTATTGATTTGAAATAAAATGTACCACAAGCACAACTGTATTAACTTTGTACTAGTTGTTTAATTGTTGATGTTATTTTGTAGGTTTCTGTGACTACATGTTACCAACTGAACAGTTCCCTCCAGGATATGAATTTGACCCAGAAGGACCTAACTTCCCTATCACTGGACTACGATTTGTTGGTTTAATGTCTATGATTGATCCTCCTCGTGCTGCCGTACCTGATGCCGTAGGTAAATGCCGAAGTGCCGGTATTAAAGTTATTATGGTTACTGGTGATCATCCTATCACAGCCAAGGCTATTGCCAAGGGTGTCGGAATTATTTCGGAAGGCAGCAAGACAGTCGAAGATGTGGCTTCAGAGCGCGGCATCCCTGTTGAAGAAGTTGACCCTCGGTAAGTAACCTTGCTTTGTCGGAAATACGAGCGATTAGTACTTTGAAAAAATTCTGTCCAAATGATAATAATAGTGCTTTGTAAGCAATAGATACATTGAAGTAACAGCTCAACAATAATACCAATGATTGATACTTTTTAAACAATTACTGTAATTTGGAATAAATATCTTAAAACTCTTATAGAGATGTTACTACTTAATAAAAATAGAAATAAAAACCACTATAAATCTGTATTTCAGTGACGCCAAGGCTGCTGTCATTCACGGTCAGGATCTTCGCGATATGACACCCGCCCAAATTGATGAAATCTTGAGAAACCACAACGAGATCGTATTTGCCCGAACCTCTCCCCAACAGAAGTTGATTATTGTTGAGGGTTGTCAAAGACAAGGTGCTATTGTTGCTGTAACTGGTGATGGTGTAAATGATTCTCCAGCTCTGAAGAAAGCTGATATTGGTGTTGCTATGGGTATTGCTGGTAGTGATGTTAGTAAACAAGCTGCTGACATGATCTTATTAGATGATAACTTTGCCTCCATTGTTACTGGTGTAGAAGAAGGTAAGTTTTCTTTTCTAATCTGTTCGTTAAATTCGGTAAAAATATCACCAAGTTACGTTATCTTTTTAAATGACCTTTTAAATAAAATATTTAATAGTCATGTAGCTACATTGATTTCTAATTTTATCTACATTTGTTTGTGTAATACAAGTTTCCTATTTTTAATTCCAGGACGTTTGATCTTTGATAATTTGAAGAAGTCCATCGCCTACACCTTGACCTCGAACATTCCTGAGATTTCCCCATTCTTGTTCTTCATCTTGTGTGATATTCCTCTACCACTCGGAACCATTACCATCTTGTGTATTGATCTGGGAACTGACATGGTACCTGCTATCTCTCTCGCCTACGAACAAGCTGAAAACGATATCATGAAGAGACAACCTCGTGATCCTTTCAAGGACAAACTTGTAAACGAACGGTACGTACAATTTTTAAAATTGTAAAAATTATCTTTTCTAAGTTTAACTTAGCTTTTGACCATTTTTTACGTCTTCCGAGCCAAAACCTGTTTCGGGGGCCTAGATATTTGAATGGCTGCCATTCTGAACATCAATTAGATCTTAGGTAAAAATAAAAATTTGTTTTTTTAAAAAATAGACCTTATTAACTGTTGACTTAAACAAAGTATGAAGATTGTCCGTTGATATTTTAAACAATTGTATTTGTTTTTATTATACAGATTGATCAGTATGGCCTATGGTCAAATTGGTATGATTCAAGCTTCTGCTGGGTTCTTTGTCTACTTCGTTATTCACGGTGAAAATGGTTTCTGGATAAGCCGTCTACTCGGTATCCGTAAAGCATGGGATTCTCGTGGTATTAACGATTTAGAAGATTCTTATGGTCAGGAATGGGTAAGTCTGATAACTGTAATATTAAAACATTTGTACAGCAAGAAACACTTCTGAATTCATATTAATTATCTGACTTACAAGTTGAAAAACCCAAAAGTATTCGCATTTATTTCAATATGCTATTTCAATATTAAGCATCAAATTTCGGTATTTTGCATAGAATTTATTTAATCTTTTTGTTTTTTTCAGACCTACAACCAACGTAAAATCTTGGAATACACCACCCATACAGCTTTCTTCGTATCTATTGTTATTGTCCAATGGGCTGATTTAATTATCTGTAAAACAAGAAGATTGTCCCTCTTCCAACAAGGAATGAAGTAAGTTCTCAGTTTTACTCAGTTAATTGTTCATTGGGATTTTCCCACATGGCTTCCTCTTGTCAGTGGTGCAGGACGAAAAGGCCTCACAAAGAAAGCTGTCTGGTCACTCGGATGGCCTGAAAGACCAAGGTCCGGTGTACACATTTGCATGCATGTAAAAGATCCCTTGACAGTTGGAATTCAATATAAGAGTAGGCCATAGCGCTGGTACCTGGGCAAAATTTCCCTCATAGCACACTGTATGGGGTATGCTCGTCTTCATTAGCCCAGTTGTAGCAAAACAGTAGGACATTAAACCCCATTTCATTTACTCATTTAATTCCATCTGTTGAAAGACTTAGTGGTATACAGCATTCTATTAATTCTATTAATGTGTTAATAAATCAACCTGCAGGAGCAACTCGCAACACAATGCCACAGTGAATTGTTGTAATATGGTACATACACTTCATATTCCCCCCAAACCTTGCATTTGTAGATTTTAACAAAAATGTTTTCTTGTTTTTCAGGAATCATCGTTTGACATTTGGTTTATTCTTTGAAACAGTTTTGGCTATTTTCCTCACTTATTGTCCTGGTTTAGATCAGGGTCTTCGTATGCAAAGTTTAAGGTAGGTTTTCATATATCTTCTATAGTTGATAGTAGCAATTATAGATAAAACATTTCTGATACAATTCAACAACCTACTCCATTGCAAATTACCACACAGCTAGCGTTTAAACATGTTCCTGAAGCAACGACTGAGAGGTTTACAACATCTGGACATTGCTAGATAACTTGACAATTCCCAAACTTATAGCTACAGACACGTGAACAGTAGCGTCCAATCAGAGGTTGTGACTCGATTTTTCACAGATAAGACATTTTAGCTGGAAAGCGCAAGACTCACAAGCTGGGTGAATACCCAATCGAAATTAGTGCCAAAATATGCAGGGTATTACGTGAAGCCCTTGATTAGATGTACATAGTTAAAGCGAGATCAAGCCTTCTATCGAAGATGAGGTTTCTATAGTTACCTAAGTTTAATGACAGATTTTACACCAAAAGGTACCATTGACAATAACTTGTTGCTGTACGGACGGACCTAATCTTGTCGAAAAAAAAATCCTGAGTTCTACAATGCTTTTAAAAACGTGTGACTGCGAAATTATGTCTATTCAAAGTTTACCTTCCTTTTCTAACTTGTTTGTTTCTTGTGTTTTTCAGATTTACTTGGTGGCTACCGGCCCTTCCTTTCAGTTTGGCCATCTTTATTTATGATGAGTGTAGAAAATATATTCTTAGAAGAAGTCCGGGAGGATTTGTAGAAAGGGAAACATATTATTAAACCACAGTATATTTTAGAGATAAAGAAATTATATAATAAATAAATACAATGGTTAGGTTTACCAGGGGTTGGAACAAAAACTTGTTATTAGTGGGATGGGAAAGGGGAGGTAACTACTGGAGTATTGAGATAACTCCACTATCCATGGTTAACAATAGGATATGGTGATACTTATACTCAGGAGCACAGCAATCACTGGTTTATTATTATTATTATATTGCATTTATTAAAGTCGAATGTACCCTTACTGAACGGATTCTCGGTTCAGACCTTAGATTTATTCGGTTTATGGCTAATAACTATTCATATGGTAATAGCCGAAGTCGACTGATAGACAAACATCAGTTAAAAGATGTAAATTTTCTTGGTTATGTTGAGAATGGAATAATATTACTTATATTATATACAATGTACAAATCACTCGCCATGATAAATTACAACCATATATCACAGTAGATGACCACTGTGGCTAATGTACATTGTCTTTAAGATTTTAGCAATGACCTCTATTTGTAAGTACAAACTTCTTTGTGTAGGCTTTTTTTTATATATAAGTAAAGATCTGTATTCATTTCGTGACTGAATTTATTTGTTAGAGATCAGATTGTATGAGTATTGCTTACCATTTGTAAGTGGAATGTGTATCACTTATCCCAATATATATAAATATATATAATAGTTACTGAATGTCCATTTACATCTTGCATTCGATTTTCGATCAGTTAATTTTTATTAGCGTTTTTAAATTGTGAATACCCTCTCCTTTATGTAATGCGATTTGTTTATATTTTTTCATCATAATTTTTAGCCTCATATATTATTTTAGTTAATTATTGTCAGTATTGTTAGTGACTCTATCGCAAATGAGATTGTGGTCGGATGAATGAATGAAATCGTCACATTACTTTTTTTTTTTTTACTTGTCAGTTTTCCCCATCTTACATTCCATCATAAAACCTGTATTTATCAGAATTACCTGTCGGGAACACCTGTATTTATCAACCGTTTACTCTCAGAATTACCTGTCGGGAACAAAAAAAAGGAATATTATTAAACGTTGCAAATATATTGCCCCCCTCCTCAGATTTGGAAAACTTTGTTTCAATTATACATACAGCCAGCAGTTTTGTACATACGCTGTATATCTCATATATATAATTAGCTTAGTTGAAATTAATCGGACAATCGTAGACTTGCTCGTTCATTTTAGCTTGGTAGTTGATGTATATGATTCCATGATGGGGCGTCTGCCATTTAATTATTGTATGATAGAATGTATTAGACTTGTTTTTATTAAGCTTCGTAAATGCACATTGAAAGATTTTAATGTTTATTTTTTTTTGTCCTACTCTCTCCTACCTGCAAGCCCTCCTTGACGAGAGAGAAGTTTTTTTGATACGCAAATAAAGCCGTCATAGGTTGTCTTGTTGTATACGCTGGTTACGGTCACTCACCCTCGATGTTGATTCATTTATTCGTCACTCTTGAGGGGCGTTGAGTAATTTATCAAAGTATGAGATACGAGATATTGTTATCCAGTCTATTTGTATAATTTTATTATTATTAATAAACATGTTATATAGAGTACAACAGAGATTTATTCAAACCCTTTTTGTTTATTTTTCTCTCCTTTGTTTTTTGTTGCAGATGGCAAAAAACAGGGGAGACAACCATCACATTATTTGTTAGCGCAAGGTGTTAAATTTACATGATGAAATGCAATACCGAATCACGATTTGATATGTATGCTAGTGACTGGTGAATGTTGATTTGGCACTTGGTGTATTTACGATAATATAACAGTTAGGCAGTTATGTTTACCACCTTTTCTTAACTTTGTTTTTCATCGATTACATTTTAATGTGTGTTAATTAAAATAAACAGATCCAAAAAATACCAACTTGTCGAGTTGCTCCATTTTCTAGAATTGTTTTTTTGTTTGTTTTTTTTATAGCCCCCATATACCGAGATGATCAAACTTTTTTTGTTTAATATAATTAATGATCATTTTAAATGATTAATTATAGTCTTATTTTACCAGTCCCAAGTACATCAAAGTTCTCGATGAAATGAGGCTCTGATGCCTTCACTGATAAAACATTAAAATATTTAAACATTGGATGAATGGTTTTAATGTTTTATGCTGGAGAAAAACAAAGCTATTTGTATTAAGACTGGAGGAGACATTTAAAAAATGGTTGAAAATAAGGCATGGTTTATATGGGACTTGTAAAATAAACTCTAGTTACTATAAATAGGTTGTGTGATGATAAGTGCTGATTCAATAATTCACATATCACATTGCATTATTTCTATATTCGGGGCTTCTAGTTTTATAAATAATTTTGTTTAAAAAGTCATGTAGGGAGAGATATGTAACATGATTCTACATGTATGTGAAATTTCGTTGAAATTGGAATAAAGTCTTTTAGGATCAAAATTATGTTTGGTCGTAAATTACCTTAAACATACATTATGCAAGAGCTAAATCTGCCTATTGCAGGTCTTTCTTTAGGCCTGAAATGTTATCTAAATTATTAATTAGACATTAATTAACTTATCCAGACCATAATCGATGCCATCTTATGGGTCAGATTTTCATTGGTTTTGAATCCGATTTGCTGCTCAACATCTGTTGATGATTAAATGCAAAAATGGATAATCGAGACTGTTTTTTATCGTACCGACTTTAGTAATGATGATCGAGGATGTGCCTAAAATTCAAATGCTAATATCTTGGTTTATAGTGGAGCAAATTAACTTAAATTTTCAGCATATTCCCTTTATATTATCTAGTTTTTAACTAATATAGTGAAAACTCCCAGCTGTTTATCCAATTCTCAATACATTGTTTGCTGACATCAATGAAAGGTACTTGGTTACCTGTAATTTATTCATTCTTTCTATCTGTAAATCGTAGTGCCGCTGTCCGGGCAAAATTTCCCTCATAGCACACTGTATGGCGTATGCCCGTCTTCATTAGCCCAGGTTAGGAGCAGAACAGTAGGACGTTAAACTTCATTTCATTTCAATCTGTAAATCAAACGGCAATGTTGACATATATATGTTCCTATGAGGAAGACGGGTCGTAAACCTGGCCCTTGTACAATAATGGTGCAATGAGTAGCCAACTTATTTGTCACAGATCGTTCGGATGGGACGAAAAACCGAGGTCCCGTGTACACATTGGCGTGCACGTGAAAGATCCCTTGGCAGTTGGAATTCGAAATCAGAGTAGGCCGTAGTGCCGCTGCCCGGGCAAAATTTCCCTCATAGAACACTGTATGGCGTATCCGTCTTCATTAGCCCAGGTTAGGAGCAGAACAGTAGGACGTTAAATTTCATTTCATTTGTCACAGAGGTCAGAGGGTAGGGTTAAAATTCAGTGGCCGACAAGTGCATTCGTCCAAGGTACGTCATTCTCTGCATTTTATCAAAGCCCTATATAATCACATACAAAACTATGTCTAGCTTCGTTCTTCGAGTCCCTTGTTACAAATTATATATAGACAAGCAATATATATAATTGCCAGGGCCTATTTTAAGGTTTTATTGACGAAGCACGGTTTTTTGATTGGGTTTCCCCCCTTTGGGTTCCAACAAAATTTCCAAAACGTGACTAACGATTTTCCACACAGAACTTGGTAGCTCAATTTAGCTTCTTCCATCACCGTTATTAGCATAGGCGTACGAGCCAGGGGGGCGGGGGGGGGGGGGGGCAGCTGCCCCCCTAACTTTCGGGCAAGCTGACTTTTCGGGCAGAAGGGTAAAGTGAAAAAAAAATTTTATTTCATCTACTTGGCAAAAAAAAGTGCCCGAAATCTAATAAAACACTAATTTTACGGGCTGGAATAGCAGTAAAAAGCGTTTGCGGCCGTCAAATATTCCAAAATTTTCTTCGGGGGTCCATATAAGGTCAGTTCTGCTTCTTCACCTCTCGAAGAAAACCGGCGCCGCTGTCTGTAAACCTGAAATTTGTTCGGGCATTTCTAGTTTTTCTTTCCTAACTGTCATTGAGCCCTAATAAAACACCAATTTTACTTTTCTTTTAATTGAATACCACAAATTTGTACTGAGTTGACTATGGATAAAACATTTTGTCTGGAGCCACTCTATTTTTTGCGACATTTTTCGAGCATCGATTATTATTTGTGAATGCAGCTGCAACAGTCTGATTGGATGGTTGGAATTTAGAATGGGATTTCGGTCACAAAACTACTTTTGGAGTTGCTTACACGGGCTAGAACAGCCGAAAACGCATTTGCGGTGGTTAGATTTTCAAAATTTTCTCCGGGAGGGTGAGGCTCCCCATACCCCGCGACGATTGATTGGTTGTTTGGAATTCGGGTCAGGCAGGTAGGCTATATTGGACCAAATTGAAGTTGCTGTATTCACAGACTGGAATCTTTTGATTGGAATTCGAGTCAGCCATCTTAATTAGGCTATATTAGACCACTTTGAAGTTGCTTTGTTGACGGGCTGAAATAGCAGGAAATTATGTTTGCAGCCGTCAAATATTCACGAATTTTCTTGGGGGGGGGGGGGTACAATACAAGGGGAGCTCTGCTTCTTCGCCTCTCGAGGAAGATCGGCGCCGCTGTCTGTACACCCGAATTTTCTTCGGGCATTTCGGGTTCTGCCCCCCTAACTGTCATCGAGCCCGTACGCCTATGGTTATTAGCTCTAATGTGTTGGAATAAACCTTCTGAAATCGTGATCAATTAGTTGTGACCAAAACAAAGTCTCACCAGAAGTGAAATAAAAATTTCCTAATTATCACCACGCTTACACTTTTAAAACAAAAAAGCGGTTGGCACACACGATACGCCGAGATTCTGTAAGATATGGATAGGGAACAGGGAAAATCGATAGGGCTAAACCTCTCATTGTAACAATGCTACACATCGAATATGAAACTGTAGCCTATATCGCGTTCACAAGGTTTTTGGCAAAGTTTGGTAACTCGATGGGGTTTGTCCAGGGGGCTTAACTCCGGAACAGAAGGTCGCGGAATGCTGATTATCGGTATGATTCTTGCTCCCGTGTTCTCAATTCATCACAATATAAAGCTCACAAACATCTACATACAATCCACGAAATTGAATCGAAACCAAACGCATTGATTGATGATCACAATGATTGTTAATGACACACTTGCTAAATTTCCTCGTGCAATCTTTTAAGATTCACAAGGATACATAACATACCATGAATCCATCTTTTCAAAGCATGAACTTTAGATTCTCCAAGCACGGATTTTTCATTTCAAGGCACGTCCGTGTCTGTAGGCACGTTAAATTAGGCCCTGATAATTGCCCTACAGACTTGTTACTGTACTTGCTTGAAAACGTTGAGAGAATACTCTTCGAAACGTCGCCTAAATAACTCAGTAATTGTTCTTCTATAAATATGTGTTATAATTCATAACTCAATGTTGATTTAAATAGACAATGATATTTTCAATGCTGAAACAATTAAAACTGCCAAAAGTTCTTTTACGCGCACACCAACGCCTCGATTTTCTTGATATAAAAACAACCCGACGCTTCTTCCTAAACCTTGTCTGCGATATCACCTCGGTGGAAGCGGACGTAAAATACAACTAACTAACAACAATCTTCCTCAACCAACGCCTTTACAGATTTCCGAAAGGGAAGTGGTGATACACAATTTATATTAATAAAATGACGGGATGGGCGCGAGATAAATACCAAGAATATGAAGGGCCTAGTATCGCCCGCCATCATGCACGCCTATGACCAAATGCTAACTATTAGACAGGAGAATGTAATTATAAATTCGCTATGGAGAACAGATTATTTGATAATATTCATTTTTTAAATGAGCTAGTTCTATTAGGTAATCAATTCAAACTATTGACAGCTGTGGAGCCATGTGGAGAATATGGCTGCTGGCTATTGAAACTATACAGAGGATAACGTACTGTTAAAAACGTCGCCTTAAAAACTCTGGTAGCTGTTTTCCATAAGTATGTGGGTTTGATCCCAGTGTTGGCCTAGAAAGTTCAACGGGATTTCCCGGCGTGGTGCAGGAGCTGTCTAGTCGTTCAAATGGGACGGAAAACCGAGGTCCCGTGTACAAATTGGCGTGCGAGTAAAAGCTCCCTTGGCAGTTGGGCCTTAGCGCCGCTGTCCTGGAAAAATTTCCCTTTTAGCACACTGGCGCATGCCCGTCTTCATTATCCCAGGCGGAGCAGAACATTTCTAAAAGTAGGAAAGCTCCCTTGGCAGTTGGGCCTTAGCGCCGCTGTCCAGGAAAAATTTCCCTTATAGCACACTGTATGGCGTATGCCCGTCTTCATTAGCCCAGTATATAGGAGCAGAACATTTCTATAAGTAGGTGTTTTTGTTTTTACTATATCCGGTTTACATTGCCATTTAAAGATTATATTGAAGAAATGAAATGGAATGAAATGGGGTTTAACGTCCTACTGTTCTGCTCCTAAACTTGGCTAATGAAGACGGGCATACGCCATACAGTGTGCTATGAGGGAAATATTGCCCGGGCAGCGGCGCTTCAGCCTACTCATATCGAATTCCAACTGCCAAGAGATCTTTTACGTGCACGCCAATATATTGAAGAAGCATACTGGATTGTAATCTAATTATAACCAATTTCTCATAAATTTGTGGAGAAGGTGGCCGAATTTTAAAATTTATTGAACTAAAACAGTACATTGTTTACTGACGGATCGGGTCTATAGATTTTTATACAAGGCCTACAATTTCTGTATACATGTAGTTCTGTTAACGGGGGAGCTCAGTATAAGTACGGCGCTGGTCGAGAATGTTCATTGGTATTTTCCGGCGTGGTCCCCCAGGTCAGTGGTGCAGAACGTTACACCCACCCCACCACTGATACGCTACAGCTGGGCTTGCTAAAGGTATACAGCAAAAATACGTTAATAAATAAAATGGAATTGCAGATTAAATGACCTTTAAAAAATTGTAGCTGCAAATATGTCTTACTTTTTTTAGGACGTTCCCGTAACTATAATATATAACGTATCAATAATTACGTTACGTTATTGGTAATATAGACTTATACAACAAAATCCGAATACTATAATACGGTTTACAGTTTCATTATAGCCTTCATATGTAACAGCGTTTCTTATAAACCAACGTGTCTATAATTGACCTTTGTCTTCTTGTTGCTAAATAAAGAAATGTGGCTCAAAGAACCTAGGGGAGGAGGCTGAAGAAATGTCAGGAATCGGTTCACTTGTTTTCATGACTATAGGTAATGCCTTCACCTCGTGTCGATAATATTCCCCACACGTGTTTTCTATCTGGGCGTGGTTCGTATATTTTTTTGCCACCTAATTTTAGTTACTCGTGATGTAAAAGAATAAGTCGTATTAGTGCACGATCTATACACTGATAGATATTATAGTATTTGTCCTTTTTCTCACGATTT